CAGGTGTGTGGGTATGGGTGTGGCTATGTGTGTGACTGTGTGTGTGTGTAGAAGCTTAAAAAGAAGACCGGTAAAGAACAGGTGTGTGGGTATGGGTGTGGCTAGGTGTGTGGCTGTGTGCGTGTGTAGAAGCTTAAAAGAAGACCGGTAAAGAACAGGTGTGTGGGTATGGATGTGTGTGTGGCTGTGTGGCTGTATGGCTGTGTGTGTGGCTGTGTGGCTGTGTGGCTGTGTGTGTAGAAGCTTAATGGGGGTATAGTAAGTTTGCTTTCCCAATTTTGTATAGCAACTGCTTGTGAACCACCCATCGGCGCATATACCACTCCCTTGCATTGTCTTGATTTGGGTCTCACAATACCCGATTTGACTTTTGTCGCCGACAGGAGAAAGAATTTGATTCCCAGATTCAGGAATTGGAATCCGAGATTGAACGCATCACAGACCAACTGGACGCACAGAACGACTATGAAAACGTAAGTACATAACCACTAGCAATATGTTATTACGTAGATGACCGTGTGGTCGTATCTACCTGGCCGTCGCATATGTTAAACGTATCCTGTATTCTAGGCTTGCCCGTTCAATACCGTGTATGGTGTTCCTTCTCAGCTGGGTCGCTGGTAGTTTCTGATGTCTTGTGCTGACAACTGTTTGTGCTGTGCCAGTGATGGGTAGTCCATCACTGCCATGCCGTGGCCTGGGCAGCTGGGTCGTGTTTCAATGCGTTTAGTACTTAGTTGAGTTCACAGTCGGGTTGATCGTTTTTTTTACCGTTTATTGACAACGTCTGCAAATGATCTAACAGCGACCGATATCTACATCGAGAATAGCGTTTGCCATCGGCCAATGGCTCTGTGAATGTTCTGGTGGGTAGTGTGCGACTCTTAAGCCCATTCTAGCATATAGGGCTCACCCCATATGTTTATCGATACATATATATGCGTGTGTGTATATACGTATACACCCCAAATGTTTATCGAGGTATATATGTGCGTGTGTGTATATACGTATACGCCCTATATGTTTATCGATCTATATATGTGCGTGTGTATATACGTATACACCCCATATGTTTATCGATATATATATATATATATGTGTGTATATACGTATACACCCCATATGTTTATCGATATATATATATGCGTGTGTGTATATACGTATACGCCGCATATGTTTATCGATACATATGTGCGTGTGTGTATATACGTATACACCCCATATGTTTATCGATATATATATATGCGTGTGTGTATATACGTATACACCCCATATGTTTATCGATTTATCGATATATATATATATATATATATATATATATGCGTGTGCGTATATACGTAGGCCCACGAAGTTCACGACAACCTCGCTTCTGTTCCAAGTCTCGCTCCCAGTCTATCACAAAAAATGGATATTCGCCACAGCCGTAGGCCTCAATCTAGACCCCCTCCTTCATGTTTTTTTTTTTGAATTCTCAGGTCAAGAAAGAATTAGATATTTTACGGAACTACGAATTTAAGGAAGAGGTGAGTCGTTTGAAATGGCTCGTTATAGCCAGTGTGCGCTCCTATTGCTGCACTCACTTTCCTTGGTATCAAAATATAAAAGCTGATTGTAAATCGGTCATCAGTTGTAAATCGTTACTTAATTTATTGTAAATCGTTATTAACTGTAAATTGTTACTTAAATGTAAATTGTTACTTAAACATAAATTGTTACTTAAATGTAAATTGTTCCTTAAATGTAAATTGTTACTTAAATGTAAATTGTTACTTAAACATAAATTGTTACTTAAATGTAAATTGTTACTTAAATGTAAATTGTTCTTTTAATGTAAAATTGTTACTTAAATATATTAATTGTTACTTAAATGTAAATTGTTAGTTAATTCTATAACATGGCACGTGATTGTTTGCTTTGATTCGCTGGTGTTGAAGCCTCTGAACGTAAGCTGACACCCTTTTTGTTATCAGATACGGAGCAGCATTTCCATTTGTCGATATATCGTTCGAATGCGAATAGACATGCATATATATATATATATATATATATATATATGTGTGTGTGTTTGTGTTTACTTACAGATCGATATATATGTATATAACCTATATATCTGTGTCTGATAGTGTCCGCGCGTGCGTCTGTGTCTGTGTCTGTGCATGCAAGTATACTCAAATATCTCTGAATTCCCTATCCCAGATGGATCATGAGAAAACACAGACGGTAGAGGAATTGCTGTTACTAAAGAACAAGCGACTGCAGAAGAAAGCCGCTGAGACCAATGCGCTGCTCTCAGACAAGTACGTTCGTGGCACACATACCAAATTCAAGATCTGTTGATGTGGCTACTTTTTCAGATCTGGTTATTTGGTTACTTTTTTTAGATCTGCTTATTTGGCTACTTTTTCATATCTGCTTATTTGGCTACTTTTTTAGATCTCACTTCTCGACCAACATACACTCAGCTTTATAATCGGCCTATCCTCAGGACCAATGAGCTCACACAGCAGTCAGAGACCATAGAGCGACTACAGGATGAAGTCAGTCTCAAAGCCACGCTGGTGGCAGAGTTAGAAACAGGTCAGTGGCCGCACAGATGCTAAGCACGCCTATAGCAAATAGCAACTACGTACCACGCCACACCACACCTACAGCAACTACCTATAACACCTTACACACATGCAGCAGAAACTTATAACACCTTACACACATGCAACAGAAACTTATAACAGCTTACACACATGCAGGCGGATAGAATGTAATTGACACACAGTAACATGCGACTGTGCAGAGAAGCACCACACCCATATATGCAGTAGTGTATGTTACACGCGTATATGCAGTAGTATATGTTACACGCGTATATGCAGTAGTGTATGTTACACCCATATATGCAGTAGTGTATGTTACACCCGTATATGCAGTAGTGTATATACTCTCCGTGTATAGTGAACGTCTCAGCTTGAAAGAAACTAGCAACGGTTGTAAAGCATTATATCAGAGCATGTACACGCTACGATATAGTTTGGGCTGGGCTCTACGCAATTGGGTGTCTAACTACATCCGCTTACTTTTATGTGGGTGTACGTGTAGTGGGTACAGAGATACATCAGATCGCACTAGGCACGCTAAGCTTTCAGCACCGCAGGAACATGCGTGTATACAGATATGCACAATGTCAGAGACAGGCACGAGGTCGTGCAACAAAGTAATCGTTAGGCAGACCTCTGGCAACGCAGTTATATATGTATATGTGAGTCAGATAGGTGCACTTCTGAATATATGCAAGTACAAAGACCATATGTCCCACAAGAAGTACACACATGCTTCTTTCACCACACGTACACGCACACATACACTCTTCAGCCCATTTATGCCAGCTCGAATATTAACAGCCTCTAGTATATTGTTACTATCCATCACATACACTATTTGTTAATACATAAATGTGTTTCCGAATGTGCGCGCACACCGTTACAGCTGTGCAGCAATTGCAACAGACCCAACTGAACGGTTTGACGACTGTCACCGTAGCTGACACCCCTTTGGCACCTGCGGCCACGGTAGATGCAGAAGAAAACTCGCTTGAGAAGGGTATGAAGGTTTAAAACTATTGGTGAACAGACGTGAGTATATGTATGGATTGAATTGTTTTAAATCTACGAGTGAACAGGCGTGAGCATATCTATGGATTGTATTGTTTTAGAAGTATTAGTGAACAGACGCGAGTATGTCTATGGATTGTATTGTTTTAAAACTATGAGTGAACAGGCGAGAGTATATCTATGGATTGTATTGTATTAGAAGTATTAGTGAACAGACGCGAGTATGTCT